GTGATGCAGATGCAGCAAGAAAGTAGGAAAAGTTACTCACAAAATAGTAACAGGTCAAGAAAATTTTCACTTCATTTTGTACCAGCACAACAGATCGAAACCACGGCCACCTGAACCTGGCCTCTGGGCATTTATGGGCTGTGGCACGAAGGCCCAGCCCGATGCCTGCACGGAGCAGACCTCCTGAAGTCTTACAGAAACAGCAGCTGCCTGTGGACAACCAGGCAGTCACAACTACCTTTCTCCACTGAGACAGCAGGGAAGGAGGGTGTGAGGAGAAACCAGTTAAGTGTCTGAGGAGGAGCCGGCAGAATTGTGCCTTGGTTCTGTCACACAGCAGTGCCCATCAGTCGGTACCAGGGCTGGGTGGCAGCCTGCTACACTCACCATCACCTGCCGGCCGTCCCTGCCCCCTCCCATTCCTTCAGCTAGTGTAATAGACATGAAAGAACAGAGTCTTGTTGCGGAGGAGAGAGTACGAGTTATCAAACTTTAGCAGGTAGATGCCCTCGCCTGGGTACTCGTGGCTGCCTGCCTGCACCTCCCGATGGCTGTTCCTCCGATACATGGGCATGATCTCTCCGTAGCGGCTCCGCAGATAGCTTTTGGAGCCCCTTTCCACGTCACCTGCAGGGGCGAGTCCTGAATGGGAGAAATGAGACAAGTGAGTGGGCCAGGGCCAGTGAAGCCACTAGGTAGTCCAGTCCAGAAACAGATCCACAAGACCAGAATGCAGCAGAGACATGCAGATATATGGAAGTCTAACTATGACAGCATTAGCCACAGCATCTGCTCGGACCTTTCTGCAAATAATACCCACAAAGTCCAACTTTCCTTATCACGACAAAGGACGTGCCGAGAACCACTTCTCCTGGGAATACTGATGGGACAGTATCCACTTGCCTGCCAGCCTGGTCTCCTCTCTCTGGACTTGCCTTTTAGACACCTCACTGCTTTTATACACATAGCAGTGGTCCGGTGATATAGACTTAAAGCAAAAGAAAGGTGGGAAAGCTCTTAGCTATAACCTCACTGTGTTTATGTCCTCAATTCACTTCTTCAAGAGAATGTTTCGTACAGGAGTCTGCCCCTCTTTGCAGATCCTGCAAAATTAATTTCAGACACCAACCCCCCAGCTACAATGGTCACACATACAGGGAAGCCACAGAACAGGCAACATCGCTGTGCTACGGGTAGCAATTCTCTCAAATGCAGTCAGCAGGAGCTACAAAAACATCCAAACAAAAAAACCCCAGAAACAAAACCTTTTTGCTCCTACTCACCACCAGAAATGTCTCAGTCTGAGAGGCTAAGAAAAACAGTCAAGTTAAAATTTCAGACCCTAATCTTTTATCAGCTAAAAGCTGAACAAGTGAATTCTGATTTTATTTTCCAATGTCTTCAATTTCAAGAATGCTCTTGGAGCAGGTCAGCCTTTGACATAAGCGGAAGCAGGAAGGGCTAAATGCATTCTCATCACAGCCTAACCAAGAACCCAAAAGGCCGCAGAGATAACAAGTGGGGGGAGTAAACAAAGTAGATGGAAATTACAGGATCTGACATTCTCAGCAGCACGGTAACAAGCACCACAAATTAACCCTTAGAAGCTCTGCACTAACCTTCAATTTCCTCCTCCTCCTCTTCATCCTCCTCATCACTAGATTCGCTGACCTGAACAGTAATGGCAGTGCTGGTAACCGTGGTCCAGTCAAAATAGACTCCAAATCCAATGTCATAGTCATCTGTAGCAAACTCCCAGCAAATGCATTTCCCATCAGGGTGGGTTGGCACGCGGACTGTCACCACCTCGCCTCGTTTCACCACCATCCGGCCATTCTTCTCCTTTCCCATCTTGGCTTTGAATTCCTTCGTCTTCTCAGTGGTCCACATGGTGGGTGGAGCCAGAGGGGGAGGCTGAGCTGAGACAAGGAAAAAGATCATGGGCTCACCTGACTTTTTGCTACTGACAAACTGATATCTGAAAACACTGAAGCAATATCTGGTAAGGCTTTTGCATCCTGAAGCCTGCTTCCAGAAGCCTTGGATGTGGTCTCCTCCCACTCACAAGCCAGGAGCCAAATTTCCAGTATGAATTAGCAGTGTCTCCAGGACAGACTCTGCTCTTCTCTAGCCAGGGCAGGAACTTAAAAAGTGGCCCCAATAAGTGTTTTCCTTTCAGGACTCACCTTTCCTCTGTTCCCCAAGGAGGTCTGCAGTCTCCAGCTCAGCTGAAAGGATATCAACAGCACCAGTGTGATCTGACTGAATCATGACTATATCCCCTGCTCCTTGAGGTATATGGTAGTTGGTCATACGAACAACGGCTTCCTGCACAAAGCACATAAGAAACATTGTCACAAAGACCACAGGGATAAGAAATTCCCCAGCTGGATTTTAAAAAACTCATTGGTAATTAAGGCATCTGCCTGAAGCCAAGCCAGACCCTGCAGAAGCTTCTATCAGTTAAAAAGAACTGGCTGGCTCCAAGACACCTCTCTGCATTATTTCCCCCACAGCACCGGAGTCATGAACTTTGAAGTCAAACGCTGCATTAGTGTCACAAATTACACACACCTTGGCCTCCCTGAGAGCCTGTGGGCAGGCACATCTTTCCATCTGCCTCAGAGTTAATTGCCACTACTCAACGAAGCAACAGCCTTACAGATTTATCTGCATACTCTTGGAAAGAATTCCCAAGACACAGCCTCTCTAGGGAGAGTCTTTCAGCTCCAGGTGCATCTAGACTACAGCCACAATGAAACTGTCATTTGCTGTGTCCTAGTTAAAAGTCCAGCTGGTTCACCAGGGCCAGCCCTCTCTCCTCATATATGCAAACTCACAGCTCCCGAGCTGGATGCCACTTGTACAGGTTTTCCTGACTCTATCTGTAATGCAAACGAATTGGCTGCTCACCAAAAGAAACAAAAGATGCCAGAGTCACTTTCAGTTCCCTCTTCCATAAATCTGCAAGAAGGGAATTCCCAGAAGCCCCAGACAAGCAGCAAAAGGTGAGAATAACCTTGAAGTCTTAGCAAGCCAAAAACTGCAAGGAAACGAGGACTAGCCGAAGACACAAGAGGGATTTTGCAAATCAGACTGATAACATTTACCTCTTTCTAACATATAGGGAAGAAAAAAAAAAGCAAAACTGAACTAATGTTGATAGTACTGCTGTCTTAACACAACCTCTAATGCCTCAGTCCCATAGCCAAAAGCATAGCAGGGTTGGAGAACTGTTGCTGCACGTCTGTCCTTGCTTTCAGATGTAAAGAAACACCCACCTACCTCTTTGAGGGACTGGATTTGGTTAGGCAGTTTCTGTTCTAGTTCAGCCACTTCCTGGTCCTCCAAAGCACCAGCTTCTTCCTTCGAATCTTCTGTCACGCCCGCACTCACGAGTGACCCAATCCGTGACCTTTTGGAGGAAGAGAGCACTACAATTCAGCACTTCCGCCAGCAGAGGAACCACTCTGCTCTAGACATTTTTTTACAGGAAGAACTCTCACAGTGATCCATAACAATTTCTCTGGCAGCTCAGGACAAATTTAGACTTCTACGCCTTCGTTTTCCAGCCCATTTGCTTTTTAGCTCAGCAGTTGCATGATCACACCTCGAGGGCTATTTGGTCACTTGCTACCACAGGTGCACACATCTGCTCAAAAGGCTCTCCATCAACACAGGAGCAAACAACTTGGGATTTTCTCCTCCAGACACCACTGAAGCCCAAGAATCTCAATGAAAAATTAGGAAGAGCTACACAAGCTTTATAAGCAGATTTACAAAGACAGCAGATTCCTCCTTCACACAATCCTTCTGGACCACCCCCATCTCTTTCAAAGAAGATCTAACTCGGACAAATTTAGCAGGTAGCATCCACAAGTATCCAGCATCTACTTTGGCCATTTTTCTCACAGTCTACAATAATCTCTTTGAAGGAAATTAGAGGACATAATAAGAGATGGAAGAACATATGTTTGGAGTCAAGAAGGCTGATACAGATGTGTGATAGCCAAGATGGCATCAAACTGCTGTTTTAGTAAGCAGGGTGGTTTGTTGGGGTTTTTTTGCTGGGATTTTTTTTCTCCTCTTTTTTAATGAGCTTGTTGTTTGTTTACTGTCTGATGTAATTAACTCACACATTTCTGAAATTCTATCCTGTGGAACAAACGTCTGATGGCAAATGAAACTCCACTGCATATGGTATTAACGCTTGTGACCAATGCAGTGACTTGGCCACAAGCACCACATGCCCGACAGATAATAACAACCCAAACATCCGATAGCAGGGTTGATCAGCAGTGTTAATGAAGGAGTGACACAGAACACAAAGGGTGAAGAAAAAAACCAACAAAATATTGTCAAGAAAAACAGTAAAAGGTTTTTTTCTTGATCAGTTTCCACCAGGATTATGGACAGTGGGAATGCTTAATTATTAAAGAGAAAATATCCTGCTGAAAGTTTATTAGCTCTTACAATGGACTACAAAACCTTGCAGGGCTCTTTCCCAGATGAATGATTCTGTGATTTGAATAGCTGAGCCATGAACTACACTGCATAATTTCACAAGCTTTAAAACAACCTTAAGCCTGTCAGAACAGCCCCTCCAATACTGATTCTGGTATATACTGTCCCAAAGCGGGTAATTCACACTCCACTGCTTTCTCTTCACCTGCACAGAATCAACTGCCACACAGAGGAGGTCACAGGCGTGCAACAGACTGTCGTGCATGTGGGCCACAATACACAAAATGAATTTCCTACCCGCTCTGCGAACTACTGGACTCCAGAGAATCAACCAGCTGATCTGCAGGCTCTGTCTTTTGCTCTGAGTCTTCATTTTCTAACAACAAACAGAACACATGGAGAGAAGGTGAAATAAATTCTGGTCTTTAGAATACACAGACAGGAGGAAAAACTACAGCCAGCACTCAAACGTTGACAAGGTTACATGGCTGTGGAATGAGAGCTGTGCCAACCAGTTTTTCATGCTATAAGCTAAATCTAGCACCTTGCAGAACAACGATTTTGAACCGTCGCAATCCTAGGAAAGGAAGAACAAAAACCCATGTGTGTTTTTGGTGCAGAACCACTCTCAGAAGCAGGGTTCATGCAGGAACCACCAATCCTAGCTTCGGAAGGGCAGAACAAGGCCAAATTTCATCATAGAAAAGTGGGCTGGCAAAGCCCTGGAAAAAGCAATCCCGCAGAGGCTCATGCAGGGCACTGACGAGATGGAAACTCCCAGGTCACTGCTGAAAGCACCGGCCATACAGATGGCTCCTGGTCTCCCCCGAGTCTCCTGACCTCCGGGAAAGCTCTGTCCCAGCGGGCCTGCGGTTCGCGCCCCACAGCCCCGCTGTCCCACCGCGTTAGGCCGGGGAACGGGGCACGGACAAGCTCCGGCTCCC